CCTCACAGCCTGGGGTGATAGGGAGTGTAAGCCTGGAGTTTCTGGAAGACACTTGGAAAATGGAACCGAATCAACTCCTATATAGCAACCATCTTCTTTAGATACTGAGGGAGAGATTCAGAATACTTGTCTTGATTTAAGAATGAAGCAGCTGAAAAGAGAAAAACACTGGGTGATAGGACTGCAGATGGCTCAGGTGCAAACATCTCTTTCGGGTTCAACAGTTTTACAAGTGCCATTAAATATTTGTGAGCCTCAACTTTCTCATCTATGAAATGGAAATTCCCGTTTCCTTGTGAGTGTTGGGAAAGTGAAATAAAATGCACTTAAAAGGGTGTCATGCATTGTTACTGATCTTGTAGTTTTCTAAAAATTATATAATCTGTTCAGACTTTTTTTATTAGAAAACAAATCATTTTAATTTTTAAAAATGCACCTACTAATCTACATTTTGAATTATAATTATTTTTTTCTTTTTCTTTTATTTATTTTATGTAACCAAGTCCATTTAAATGAAAACAAACATTTATAGACAATATTTGGGAATTTGGGCGTCATTCTTTCCAAACTACTTCCTGCTGGTAAGGGGCGCTGTCATGGGGGATTCTAAGAAGATGCAGAAGTCCTGGCTGTAGTCTGTTGAGCAAAGTTTTCTCCCAAGTTTTTACTATAATGGAGATCATTTATGATCATAAAATTGTTATTTGTCCATCTTTTGCTCCACTGAGGGAGTTTGTAGAATTTTGTGTATTTCTCTCAGTGGTAATCTACTGACAGTAGAGAACAATAAACGATGTAATGGATGTGGTATACTCCTGATGATGCTGATGGTGAGCGGGAACGGAAGTACCTCGCTGGATACACGTTCAGCAGTTCCTGATGCCACAGTCCAGGACAATCAGACAACAACAGAAAGAAGCAGTAGCAACTTTAAGCTCTGAACAGCTTTGCCCAGAGTGACTGAAACGAGAATATCAATAATAATAGAGCACGTACGCCTCCCAACTTCCCCAGCTTCGGTGCTTGGCAGGGTGATGCTGTAGCCTGAGTCTGACCTTCAGTAGCTTTTGCAGGTGACTTGAGACTGGTGAACCTGTTTGGTCAGACCCAGACACAGGTCCCAAGACATCCCAAAGCTCGCCTTTTAGTGTGAAATGCAGCCACTTGTTCAGAATTGTGCCTGTGGCCTCCTTTATGGAGTCAGTATTCTCTTAAGGTAACCTGATTCTGATATGCTAAGAGATGAGGATTAAAAAGACATCAGGCCACTTTCCCAGCAGACAGGCTCTGCTATCTCCCTTATATGCAAAGCTGCTGTCCAACATACCCTGTTGTAGCCAGTCAACTGTCCCCATTGTTCTGTTTCTGCCTTACAAGGAAATTAACCTGGAACTTGCCCCGCTTTTCTTGCTGTTTCATTTTCCTGCCCTTCTCCTTTTAAAGGGTAACTTCTGCTCATCCTGTAAGACCACTTGTCTTACTACATTCCTATTTTTCTTTCCTCTTAAATTTTATCTGGGGGGGGGGTGTTGCAAGGGCAGAGGGCAGACACTCAGGGATGTGAAATGAATGGGATAGAGATACATGATGTGAAAGACACAAAGAATAAATGAAAAGAAAGTTTGTGAGTGTGTGTGTATACATATATATGCATATATATATATATTCTTTTTCCTTATTTTACATATCGATCCCAGTTCCCTCTCCCTTCCATGCCCTCCAAACCCCCTCCCATCCCACCCCCCTCCACTCAACAGGGAGGGTGATGCCCTCCAGGAGGGTTCATCAAAATCTGTCAAGTCATTTGGAGTAGGGTCTAGGTGGTGTGTCCCCTTCCACCCCCCACCCCTGTCTCTAGGTTAAGGGAGTATCCCTCCAAGGGGAATGTGCTCCCAAAGTCCTTTCATGACCCAGGGATACATCCTGGTTCCACTGTCAGAGGTCTAAAAAAGTTTTTTTTTTTTTTTTAAAGGACTGCTTTCCGTTCTCTTAGTGATATAGTCAGAAACAGATGCACTTTGCTGATCATCACTAGTTTGGTGTGGAACTGGTGAAGGGAACACTTTTGCTTGGAAACTCCAGCCTATATTCCCATCACAAAATGTGAACCTAGTAAACTCTCCACAGCCTTGCCAATGCTGGTTATTTTTTGTCTTTGTAATAACCATCCCAGTGCAGTAGGTGTGCAATAGCATGGCACTGTGGTTTTGGTTTTATTCCTCTATTGCCCAATGGCGCATAGCATCCTTCTGTGTGTTGTTGGTCACTGATATATTTTCATCAGAGCAATGTCTATTCAAATCCATTACTTACTGTTCATCTGCATTGTTTGTCTCTTGCTGATTTCATTTGCTTTTTAAGGGAGATGTTGCTTGCCTGTTGTTTTTGAATGCTCTGGTTATTGACTGATCTTCCAGTCCTCATCCGTTTATGTCCTTATCTTCCAGAGCTGGTGCTACAATCACTGACCGATGGGAAGGGATTCTCAGCTGAGATTAAGTCTGGGAAGTATCTGGATTGGAAGGTTACCATGGATTGTGTCTGTGAGTCCACAGCCACAGCACAGATCTTCACAAGTGGGGGCGTGTGAGAGTGGGAGAAAAGAGATAATAAAATCATTGCTAGAAGGATATGGTCGGTACTGCGGGAAGGAGCCACAGGCGGGGGTCTCTAGAAGCTTTCACAGACAGATACTGGATACTGGTCTATCAACACATGGATTTTAACTCCTTAGAGCCACTGAAGACCAGAACTGCAAGACTGTAAATTTATGTTGTTTGTGAGAAGTTGCTGTGTATCTGGATATATATATATATATATATATATATATATATATGTGTGTGTGTGTGTGTGTGTGTGTGTGTGTGTGTGTGTGTGTGTGTGTACATATATCAGACTGTATCTGAAATATATATACCTGATATATGCATATATATCAGACTATATCTGAATATAGGAAATGTGTTTAGAAGCCTAATAAGAATTTCAAGACTCTGCCAAGAGGTGGCAGCATTGTCTCCATAGACACCAAAGTGAAGATGTTTGGGATGACTGAGCACCTCACATAGACACATGCCCACCCACATCCTGCACATGCCTCTTCTGCTCATCCTCATAGGAAGCAGCTGCTCAGATGTTCGGGAGGAAGAAAACTTGTTAAGGCTTGTACATTTTCTTGTAAAATCTCCTTACTGCTCAACAGAGGTCAGGAATGGGACACAGTAGAGACAGAGTAAGCTTTGAAAGCAATGAGTATGAACTCAACCACACACCCAAGGGTTTTCACGCATGACTTCCCAAAGAAACTGAGAGATATAACTGGTTTTAAATAATAAATATGTTTTGTGCATCTCGTTGTTTTCAGGGAAGCATAATTTACGTTTTATAAAATGCATCTCTTTTCAATGATGAAGGCAGCAAATGTGTACATGACTTGAGTAATTCAGGCCCCTCACTTATCTTCCTCCACCATGCCCCAGCCGAGGAAACCACTGATTTGATTCGCTGTGATGTCGGCAGACTCTGGATGGCCTGGTCCGCCCCCCCCACTCCCCCACACCCCCTCCACACCCCCACACTCCCTCCACACCCCCCCCCATCCTCCTCTCCTTGCTATCTTGTTGCTCCTTCTCTGCCTCCTCAGTTCTCCAGTGTGTACTTGCTGCCTGCCTACCTTGTTCTTGCCTCGATATTGGCCATTTCACTCTTTATGAGGACCACCAGGTATTTTAAACAGGCACAGCTTCTCGGAGTCAAACAAATACAGTGGAAACAAGTCACACACCTGAAAATAATGTTCTACATTCTACACAAATTGTTGGCCAAAGGAATCTCTGGCTATTTGACAAAGCTATTAGTCACTCTCCACAAACTGATGGTAATACCCTATTGCTAAAGACAACACCTTTATATCTCATTGAACATAGGGAAATTTAGCTGGTGCCTATGTAAAACCTTCACACCTACTGACTAGTCTTCAGGGTATGGGAAGGTATTCTGAATGCTACCAGAGGAGAAAGGTAAACACCAACTTACCTATAAAACTGGCAATCATACACGGGCGGCCTATGTGCATGATACCGTGCTGTGATAGTGGCATAAACATTGTGGGAGGTAATCATTATCTGATTGGAATTAAGACCTACTGCATGACATTGAACCCATGCCTGACATTGCTCAGGTGGCCAGGAACCTACACTAAATAGGTCATAGCCATGGGGAGAACCACATACTATTTTTAAATGACTTCTAATGACATTCTACTATACCCACAGTGCAGTGTCTTTTTCAGACATTGTCAGAGAAGTTTCCTCTGCAGTAGATGGTAGCTAATACAGAGACCCACACTGGAGTATTCAGGGTGAGAGAACATAGGACACTTAATCTTAAATGGGATGTCTTCATGAAGCCCCTCCCCTCAGAGCTCAGTGAACTGCAGTGAATATGACGGATAGCTTTTACTTTGTTACTCCTCTCCAAATCTGTGAAGACTTAATTACTCAGAAGTCAAATGACTTGCTATTCTGGGATTGGTCTGATGGGTCAGGATTTATGAGTTAAGATGAGCTCTTTCTGGCATCTATAGTTTGTCAGAAAAACAAATGGTCTCCATGGCGACTGCTGCATTACTGTGTCTGGGTGGCTTCTGGCCATGGGTAGAGGCAGGTGGTCTCTTGAGCTGCCTGCCAGAAACCTTTGGTGTAGACCAACTCGGGAGAGGAGAACATGGTAGAAATATGGCCTGTTCAGAAGGGCTAGAGGTCATCACTGAAGGCCTCTGGGTTCTACTTAGCCTGCAGTTCACCATCCAGGGCCTCGATGTTATTATGCATAAAGCAATGGAGCTGGGTGGCCTTCAAGGTTTCTTCCCTGTGAGTCCCAGCAAGGTTCTGGGGGCTAACGGAAATGGAAATTGAGAGGTCAGCATTGATGTGGGCAGAAAGGTTTCAGCTGGGCAGTGGGGTGGGGGAGTAAGGATTCTACTTGTGACATCACAATACCCAACACAGACTGGATCTTAGCATCTGAGAAGGAAAAGCAACCGAAGTTCAGTTATTGACAGAGCAGAGGCAGAACACTACTGGAAGGACCCAGAAGGATCAGCCAGCCATGCCTCCAGCGCAGGTACATGACTTGCTAAGCTAAGGGTAGAACTTGCTAGTATCTAGAGGAGAAGGAGATACCCACAGGTTAACATGCCTCCAGGAAGAACAGTGTGGCACAGAGGCCATGGTACCCACCATTTCTAAGGAATGGCAGGAATCCAGTGGGGCTCCCAGCAGACACATGCCTGTCCTCTGTAGACTCACCCAGGAGGCAGTGATGCATTTCCTAAATTCTCAGACCACCCCACCACCACCACCACCACCACTGGTCTCTCCCCAATCACTGGGAAAAGCAGGAGACACGGGGTCTCTGGCCAGTTCCCAGCAACTTTCTAAAGGAATTATCTCGCTTGATGATGCTCTTCTGCACGGGTGCCTTTCTTTTTAATGGCTTCTCCCAGAACGACAGGGATGAGTAAAGATTGTAAACATTTAAGTGAAAGAATCATTTTAGTAGGGATGGTTTTCAAAATGCTACAAAAATCAGTACAAGGTGGAGAAAAGTGTATTATGGGTTAACAATAGAGATTAACTCCAAAGTCCTGTTTTGAAATGCCAAGGCTTCAAGAGCAAAAGGCCACCCCTAGGGACAGAGAAAGAGAAAGGCCTTATGGTTGAGAAGCCAAGGCCTACAGCTCAGCTGGGGCCATCCACAGTTGCCCCCACCCCACCCCCATCTAAGGGTCTTACAGGGAAATAGTAGCTACAGGGCGTGTGAACAATCCTGTTTTCTTTACCTTGCCTTGGGGTTTTGGTTTCTAAAGGATTTGATTTTTCCTGTAGGCCCAGAGAGATTCCAAGTGACAACAAATAGATGTTCTGTTGAGCAGCAGGGTGGAGCTCAGGGGTGGGGCCAGGTCCTGACTCATCTCTACTTGGACTCTCTTGGGTCTTTGGATACAGCAAGCTCACAGGCAGAGAGAGGGCCTCCGACCGCGCAGCCCAGAGCTCCGCTGCAGACCAGTTACCCACAGAGCACACGAGGCACAACAGACAAGAAAGAGACCAAATACACGCAGGGCACAGTTTTGACGCCCTTCAGCCCCCACCAGAGCATGAATAAATATATCACAGTAGTGAGACAGGGTCCTGATGCTCTAAGGTGGTGGCAGTTGCCCACAGCATGTAAAACCCAGAGCGAGGGACCCAGGTCAAAGCGGAATACGCTCGCATGTAACTGTATAGCACACATCCAGCTTCCATCTGGAAAGTTGCTATGATTTTTCACAATTAAAATATGGTCCAATTTCTTAAGACTCTGAAAATTAAATTGTTATTGGCCAGTTTTTTTTTTAGATTTCTTTTTTTTTTTTAAGACACTTAAGAATTAGGCTTAGGCCTCACCTATATTAATAAAGAGAAAACTTAATTTCCATTTCCTAATTCATCGGCATTTACATTCTACTGACAGTGATACTCTGTGAACTTTGGCTTTGGCATGTGGCATGGGATTGTGGAGTTGTGGAGACTAGGGAAACACCCCAGTGCCTCCATCTGAGCAGAGATTGTGTGTTGGCCGGGAAGCAAGGTAGCTGGTCCAGTACACTCTGTCCTTGATTCACGCTGAATTGGTTTCTATTTGAACTAACTCTTGGTGTTTCTAGGTTAGAATATTTTGGCCAGTGGTTATTGGTGAATGCGGTGTTTTACCTCTACACCCCCACCAGGCTGGTAGAGCTGGAGTCAAGGTCATTAAAAAAACCTCAAACCATCCAAAAGGTTGAGATACTAATGAAAACAAACAGGAAAGTTAGCAAGCTGCCTTGTCGTGAAGCTGTCTGCAAAATGGGCAGGGGAATGGCTCAGTCTTAACGTGCTCACTATGCAAACATGGTGGCAGAGTTGGGATCCCCAGTGCTCGTGTGGAAAACTGGCCAGTTGGCACATGCCTGTAACACAGACCTGGGGATATGGAGGCAGAAGGATTGAGGGCATTAACTGGATAACTAGTCTCGCCTAATCGGTGATCTTTAGGTTCCTGAAGAGTTGTCTCCATGATGATGATAATGATAGTGATGGTGTTGATGATTGATTGATAATGATGATTGATGATGATGGGGATGATGATTGATTGATAATGATGATTGATGATGATGGGGATGATGATTGATTGATAATGATGATTGATGATGATGGGGATGATGATTGATTGATAATGATGATTGATGATGATGGTGGTGATGGTGATGATGATGGTGTGGAGAGGAACAGACTCCAATTTGATTTCTTCCCCCACCCCCCCCCACATTCAATCACACACATACGCACTACACACACATATGCACAGGCACATGTAGTATCTATACACGCTAATAAACATTTACACAATTTACAAGCCTTTCACTTTATAACTATTATGATCTTCCTGTGGTCCTGCCTTTTCCAGTGTGAGCAGACCATGATCATTTATGAGGATATATGTGTATCCTGCATGTGTATGGGTAAATACTTTGTGTGGCAGCCAAAGCTATTTCACACATAAGTGCTAAGTGACCTACCCTTATTACCCAATATATTTGCTAAGCGGGGCTTCTGGGACTTTCCCTATGATTGCAGATTTTATTTGGAATTATCCTGTTAAGTGGAGTGCTTCATCAGCCTTGTCCAGGGTTTTTCTACAGCACTGTCTTACGTCTCCAGTCAGTTTGTAGGTTTATGCCTCGGCACTCTGTGGACAGTACTTCAGGTTTCTAACTAAATTCCTTGCAAATACATTAATATCTATTTAAAGCTCTAAATTGTTACGAGTGGTTTTTTTTTTTTTTCCCACCGGTCTGGTCCCTCAGCTGCTCCAGCCCCAAATAACACAAACAGACACTGTATCAGATATAATGTTGTAGGCCTGTTACTAATATTACTTATTGGCTAGCTCTGTCTTAAATATTAACCCATTTCTATTAATCTAAGTATTTCCATGTGGTCTCATCTTACTGGAGAGAGGGCCTGGCATTCTTCTCTCCCGGTCCTACATTTTGAATCTCCTCCTACCTCTTCCCAAATCCTCCTTGTCTCCTAGTCCCGCATATCTTGCCAACAGAACTTTATTCATTAACCAATAAGAGAAACATATTTACAGAATGATATCTCCCATCACTAAATTCTGGAAGAAAATGAAGTGAAACAAATAATCATTTCAGATAATATGCCCTAATTGTCATGGTTGCCAGCTTGCTCTATCATTGGAAGTAGGAGGTGAATACTTTTGTTGCTATTGGTAAATGCACATGGTGCTTTATGTTAATTATAGAATCATATTGGTTTAACGGAAACATCTGACTCCTAAAAGACTCTCACGTATATCCCTGGCTTTCCAAGCAGACTTGTCTGTGGTAAAGAGAGTATGCACGCTCCTTCAGGGAAAACCAGTCCATTGGGACGTAGGCTTTGGGCAGAGCTGTGGTCTGTTTGTTTGCTTCCGTGTCGATTTCAAAAGCTGTGTAGTATATTGAGAAATTTGCATATACTGTGGCTGGAGGAAGCTGATTATGGGAAACAGGAGGAGAGGGAGTTTAGATTCAGCTTCTGCAATGTGGTTGTGAAGTCCCTGCTCTCCTATAAACTGCTGTGCAGGTATGCCTAGTAGACTTTTGGAATGTTCCCCCTAAAATTACTCCAAAACTTGTAGTTTGACAATGCTACTTAAAAGCCTCAGGAGGGGACAGACACCTCTCCAAAGAGGATAGAAGGCGAGTCTTGTTGCCATCACCTGGGTGCCTTGGCATCTGGCCACACGTAGATCCCTGATACACGGAGGGCACACCCCTTCTGCCCAACCCAGGCCCCATCATGCCTGCCCCTCTGAGGATTGTGCAATGTGGCCTTTGTAACCGGAGACCGGTGAGGTCTGGAAAGGAATGTGACCCATGACCCAGAGTCAATGGGTGTGGGTGCCACTAGGGACACAAGGATCTCTCCTGCTGTTTACCCGGTGTCTCCTGGGAATCTTGGGAGGGGAAAGGTAAGCTGAAAACCAAGCCCTCAGCAGAGCCATGAGGCCAGAGCTGCAGAGCCTGGCCCTTGTTCCTTCTACCTCAGGGAGGATGGCTCTCAGGCACACCTGACCCACTGGTTACCCGCCTTGAACCCCCTCTTCCTACTCTCAGCTTCCCAGCTGTTACAAGTTGTGTGTTGAAGGCTGGCCAGGGCTTGTAAGACAAACCCTGTCTGCCCCTCTGTCTCTATCTTGACAGGTGTATTCTGGCCACCACAGGGGGGCTGTATCGCCTCTTCTGCCTGGAGAAAGGCGCTACAAGATGAGTCATGAATCCCCTTCCTTTAAATTTCCCAAATGTCACGATGGCCGTGCCACTGGAGCTCTAACCAAAAGGAAGTCATCTACCCCAAGTCTTTCATTGGTGCTGGTTAGCACGGCTGGGTATCATTTACTGTAAACAAGTGTTGCATTTTATGAGCCAGTATTCACAAACTAAAGGCAAGCTCAGAAGAAAATGAACGTTTAATTGGTTGACTGACTGTTTATTAGAGCAGAGAGTTGACCTCAGGTCTCAAACATACCAGGCAAGATCACTGAGCTACACCTCACACCCAGCATTCTCCTCCTTTGCGAGATGCTTACAATGAAAAGCCATCATTTAAAAGAGGCTCCTTCTTACCCAGGGTTGTGTTCCTTCCCGCATTAGGAACTGGTACGGTTTCACTCTCCTAACCAATAAGCCGTCTCCCATCAAATCACTATCACACCCTCTCAAGGTCACTATTTCCACCCTAAAGAATTCATTGTCGATTTCAATCCAATTCACAATTTTTGAAAAAAAATGTATGTGCCTGGGACTGTACTGAGCGCAGGGGTGACAGGAAAGGGAAATGCTGTTTACGCTGGACTTTTTCCAAGCTCAAAGATTTAGTTGGTGTGATATGTAGACCTGCAAAGAGTTCGAAGGCGAAGAAGGAACTCCAAACTATGTGAAAATATGTCTCTGGGGCGCAGCACAGAAGAGGCCCGCGAAGTGTTCTGGAGTGTTTAGGGAGCATGGAGCCCTGGGAGGAGTCTTGAGGAAG